CGCCCCCTGGCACCCGGCAGGTGAACGGCCATGCCCCCTGGCGCCCGGCAGCCTCTAAAGGTTGGGGACCACTGATCTACATGTTTTGTTAGTCTTTAAAGTGCTACCAGACCATTTGTTGTTTTTTAAGTTTATCCTGTACAGACTAACTCAGCTACCCCTCCTCCCCCCAAGAGCCACTGACCGGGCAGCGTGACCCCCGCCCCCTGGCACCCGGCAGGTGAACGGCCATGCCCCCTGGCGCCCGGCAGCCTCTAAAGGTTGGGGACCACTGATCTACATGTTTTGTTAGTCTTTAAAGTGCTACCAGACCATTTGTTGTTTTTTAAGTTTATCCTGTACAGACTAACTCAGCTACCCCTCCTCCCCCCAAGAGCCACTGACCGGGCAGCGTGACCCCAGGCACCCGAGTAACCAGAGCAACCCCAGTGATCCTCCCCACATTTCCCAGCCTGGATTCCTGCACGCACACCCCTCTAATGCCCTCAGCCTCCACGAGGACCCGAGCAATGCCAGGTAAATCCTCTAGTATACAGTACATTGAAATGTAAGTGCAATATTTATATTCCAATTTATTTATTTTATGATCATATAGGAAAAATGAGAAAGTAAACATTTTTTCCAGTAACAGCATGCTGTGACACTTTTGTATTTGTATGTTTGGTTTTGTAAGCAAATAGTTTTCAAGTGAGCTGACATGCGGGGTGGTGTGCAAGGCAAATCAGACTCCTGAAAGGGGAACAGGAGCCTGGAAAGGTTGAGAGCCACTGAACTAAACAATTAAATATACCACCCCTAGAGCAAAATGGAAAAAGTTACAGAAATGAATGTGGATATCACGGGGTTGGTTTTTTTGGCATGACTATAAATGTTTACATTTTTTTTCTCTTATCTTAACCCTGATGGCAATGATTTGGTTTTTCAGATGAAACACACAGAATAATCATGAAGTTTTTTAGCTGAAATAAAAACATGGAATGTCATTCACAAAACTGATCCAATTCCAAACCGTGTTACCCTCACTCATCCTCAGAGAGATATCTTTTTGTTCAAAACAATTTGCTGTTTTAGGAACTGCTTCAGCAAACAAACATGCAAGTAAAATTAGCTTATGGGTAGTCTCATTGACTTCAGTAAATAACACAAGCATTTGCAGGATTGGGTCCTTCTATTTTATGCCTCCATATCTCCAATTGAGCTTTTGTGAGAAGAAAACCCCCAGTACTGTGAATTAGAAATCTTTTTTACTTAAATGCTTTTTCAGATATGGACTGGTATAGCTAGAGGTGAACCGCATATGCTTTTTTAGAACATTACTTTATGGTGTACACATGGAACCTTACCCAAAGTAGACCTATTTCTACTGATAAGCCAGCAGTGGTAGCCAAAGAGAAACATCAGACTCAGAAAAAACATGACTGCCACAAAAAGAAGGAAAAGCACATGGAACTTGGAACGTCCATTGGTCAATTCATCCTAGAAGGAAAAACAAAAAAGGATAAGGGATATGAAAAAAGAGAGCGAGAGAAATTTTCATGCCAAAAGGAATGAGATGTTACACTGTATCTACTAAGAATGTGTAGAACATGTGGAGTTTCCAGATTTTCAGACTTATTGAAAAAGAAATCACCCCTCACAACAATTAACAGACAAGACAAAAGAAGTCGTAAGCTTGCTCTTTCAAACCCTGTCACTTCCAAAGCAGAAATTCCATTTTTTATATGGAATGGAGCCAATATGTTCACAGTCCCTCATATGGGTATGAGAAGCGTCTCCTATGCCCACAGTGAATTTGGCAGGCAACAAGTGCTTTGAAAGCCTGTTCGCATTCTGCTGAGTTTCTTTTAATCTTCACATTTTCCTAGATTCACATTAATATGCTGCCATCTTTTCCAATGGCTACATTCCAACTTAAGAGATCAAAAATTTGAACTCCCTCTCTCTCAGTTATAACAGCAACAAGCAGGTATACCAAACGCTGGTGACAGCTATCTACACAGTTAGTAAAAGCTCAGAAAATCTTACAAGGGGCTGAAAATGCTTCATTTCACATTAAACTAAGAGCATGAGGATCTCTCTGGCACTTACTTCCTTCAATTTAGAAACAGGCTGTACCTTCCCCCCTACAAGTGAGCAAATATGGAAAAGCCCTCCTCCACCTTACAAGTCCTACATAGTACTAGGGAGAGTTTAAATGCCTTTCCTTTCTTGAGCACGTGGACTAATTCTCACAGGGGTGTTTGGGTCAGAGGTATAGCACTGTTTACTATATATTTGAGAGATATATGTGTCTGTGAGTCTGTTCAAGAATTCCTCCTAAACAGTAAGAGCTAGGCCTATCAAATTCAGTACACAGCTTCCTCTTATCATAACTTCAAGCAAGGTAAGGGTTTGGTTGTGCACGGGCTGGAGAGCTGAAGCTTCCCCCTCAATTTGTACAGGCACATATAAAAAGAACCCCTCTTAAATGGTAAGAGTAAGACCACAAAATTTGGTATACAGCTTCCTCCTAGCATGATTTAAAGCAAGATAAGGGTTTAGTTGTGTGTGGGGGGAACCGGGGGTGAAGCTAGGATTGCCAGATGGTTTCAACAAAAATACTGGACAAACTTGACATTACATCACAATCTACATTACATCTTATTTAGAAAATACCAGACATTTATATTTTCTCAATTTGTTTCCCGAACAGAAAGCTGAAATACCGGACTGTTCGGTTCAAAACCAGACACTTGGCAACCCTAGGTGAAGCACCCCTCCCCAATTCACACAAGGACAAATGAAACCATGCAGAAAAGAGGCAGAATCTGCAGGCAGATAAAAGAGGCTTGCTGGGGGCATGCCCCACCCCATCTGCGACTAGCCCAGCCTTGAGCCTCCTATCCCCCAAGCACTCTTAGCAATGGCGGGGAGGGCCTATTCTTACAGGAACATTACAGGCTGTTCCCCTTCCCCAGGGAGTGAGGGCAAAGTGCACAGTTTGTTCCATTCCTCGATCTGTCTGGGGAGCACAGGGAGCAGATGAACCTGGACCTGCCCCAGCTGGGCAACATGCACTCCTTCCCCAGCTGTGCCTGCTGGAGTTGCAACACCATGGAGAGGCCCCAAGCTGCTGTTGTGAGAGAGGTCTGGAGTAGTCCTCTCTCCCCAGGGCAGCCTGCATGCTGAACCCCTCATCCCCAGGCCCACCCCAGAGCAATGATTTAAATGAAGAAAAACAAAAATTAATTGAGTTAAGGACCCAAGCAATGCCGGGTAAATCTTCTGGTCTGTTATAAACTTGAGGCCCAAAGAGATTAAGAGTATGTTTACACTGCAATAAAAACACCCACATCTGGACCCAAAGCCGTGAATCCAGCCTAAGTCCCAAATACCTACATGGCAATTTTATAGCTCCACAGCCGAATAAGCTCACACAGGCCAGCTGCAAGGGTTTTACTGCAGTGGAGACATAGCCTAAAATAACTTGACCAAAGTTACAAACTGAACCTGCAGCACCAGATGTTAGAAACCAAGAATCTTGATGCCCCATCTTCGTGTTCTGTTACCTGACACTGCCTCCTTTTAAACTGACTGTATTACAAAATAGTGCTCAGTATTTCACCATCTGACTTCTAAGCCAAAAAAGTCAGAGCTCCCATTGGTTATGGTTTGCCATTCCTAGCCAATGGGAGCTGTGAGCAGCTGTACCTGTGGATGCAAGGTAAATAACTTGCCTGTCAGCCAACAACCTGTGGTCTGCAGGCAGTTCACCACTACTGTTAGGAGCCAATGAAGGTCAAAGCAGTTTCTTTAAATGCTATATTCTAAAATCAATGTGTGTAGATCAACGGCTTGACAAAGCTCTTTATATTAGTTCTCAGAGAAGAGAACAGGAGGGCAGGTGTACTGCAGGAACTAGGCTTATAGAACTAAGTAGGCAAGTAACATCATGACACTAAACTCGATTCATAGGAGCCAGGATTCAGAGAAGGTTGGGAAAGTGGGCCTAGGCATTACAAGAAACAAAAGCACAAGTTGCAAAAATATATATACTCCATTTGATAGTTTCCTGTAATTCTACTGAAAATGTGTATGTGATGATCATGCAGTCACTTAATAAATTTCAAACGTTGGTACCTTGCTAACATTTACCTAAGACACCACTCTCCCCCCAACTCCAGAGAGTTAAAATGACATATAGAGTTTAAGAAAAAGCCCCCTACTACTGAAATGCAATGACAGTAAGAGCAACACAGCAGGTTTAAAGTCACAATAAGGGACATAAAATACATAAAAATAATATGATTCTAAAACTTACTGTCCAATACTTGATGACATACTTGAAGACTGTTGCAGCAATATACATGCAATACAACAAAGAATACATTAAAAACAGCAGAAAGAATTTGTAGTTAGAAAATCCAACGCAGTTATTCACCCTAGAGAATTAAAGCAAAATTGAAATTAGGATATTTAGCACAGACATAGGTCCAAAAACCAGGAATATGAAAGTTATTTTAATTTTTTAGGTACTTGATTCTACAAAATAATCTGTTTAGTAACAATGAAATGCTACTGAGTTCTTGTTTACTTTTGTATTCTACCTGAAAGCAAAAGTCATACCAAGAAAGCATGATAAATGTATTTGATAACGTTAAAAGACCAGACCTCAATCAATTTGGTCCCATTATTAGTTTGACATAGAAATGGGCTCAAACTGCAAAATTCATATCTGGATCTGGATTTCCAATATCTGAAACTTTGAAGGTGTTCAGATTTGGGATTGTGATTTTGTTTGTATAGGCTATTTGGGTCTGAATTACCACTGATTTCCACCCTGTGGAGTAATTTACACTTGTGCAAAGTGAGCACAAAATGGTAATAAATCACAATTCTCCATTACAATGGTGGTAGATAGGGATGTAAGCAACTTAGCAAAAGCTTATCAGAACAAAAGCTTATCAGATAGTCTACTAGGTCCTCGACTAGTTGCTCCCCCTCCCGCTGCTTCTAGCGGAGGCAGCAAAGGAAGGAGCAGGAGCCAATGCTGGGAGGGGAAAGGGGCGGCTTAAAAACTGAATCCCCCCAACACCATCTCCGCAGGGGCGGGGGGAGTAGTGGGGACTCAGAGTGAGCCGGGAATCAGCTGATTCTCGACTTGTGCTCAGTCCCAGATGCTGCAACTCTGCTTTTTAAAGGTACTAAGAGCCTGATGACTCTTAACACATTTAAAAAACAGTAGCACGGGGGGG